TCCCCCCCCCCCCCCCCCCCCCCCCCCCCCCCGCCCGCCCCCGAGAATGTGGTACGGTATTCCAGCAGCGTGGCAAGAACAGTTCAGCGCCGCGGCAGATATTTGCTGTCGCAGTTATCTGAATAGTCGAATTTTCATTCAGATAATTTTACGATGGTCGTCACACAGCCGTGTGTGTAATGTGAAGACAACAACAACAACAACAACAACAACAACAACAACAACCACAACGAAACACGACAGGTCGACCATGCAGCGGCGGTGGCTCTCCAGCGGGCTTGGCGGAAGAGGAGCGCGTACGTGTTTGTCAAGGACCTCAAGCAGGTGGGTAGCAGGTCAGCCAGCCAGGCACGCTCCTGCTTCCAATCTCACGTGCTGTGCACTAAGGCCGCGCACGCCGTATCGCAACAGTAGGCTTTTCGTTCCCCCCCCCGCTCAGGAGTTTGCGCCGAAATCAATGAATGTTCTTCACCACACACCGAATCGCACAGCTTTTGGTTTCGCCCCCAATAAGTTGCACCGAAGAGTTAATTGATGATCTACGTTGCGGGTTTTTCGAGGACTCCTCGTTTGGTGGCTAGCTAGGTGAGGCAGACACGACGAACGAAGAAAGACATCTTGTTGATCGTTTTTAGCTGGGATGCCACGGTCTGCCGAGTTGGTCCGTTGTGCATGTAAGGGTGTCGTAGCGCTTTTCCCTTTGAGGTGGGGCTTGATCAAGAAAAGCCGTCCGAGCGAGTACTATCTGCTCTGTGTCTTCGAGCAGCACAGCATTGTGTAGCGTAGCTCCCAGGTGTTCACGCCTTTGGAATAGGCCCATGGAAGGAAGTGAAAACCCGTAAGAGCTTGTACAGAACCAACAAACAGGAGTTTGCAAACACCACGGAAAACACTATTACAACACAGACAAATTCATGAACAACACGAGTTTTGCAACGACCGCAACCCACAGCATGGATAAAATCATCATCAACAACAGGAGTTTGCAATGACCGCAACCCACAACAACGACAACATCATCATCATCAACAACAACGACGACGTTGAAATATTAACCCCCCCGCAGGAAAAGCTGTGCCGTGATATGCGAAAAGAGATGCGGGCCGGTCTCCACGTGGACTGCGAGGCGTGCTCGTCGGCGGGGAAGAAGTCGGCGGATATCAAATCGCGTAACCAGAAGAAGGTGGGGCAGAGAGGGAGAGACACAGAGAGGGAGAGGGAGAGGGAGAGAGAGGAAGAGGAGAGCGTTATCAGAGAGAGGGGGAGGGGCGTACTCTTATGTTTTGCATGCCTTAGCGGTTAGACCATTGACCGAGAGGGGGGGGGGACAGAGGGACAGAGGGACAGAGAGAGTTTTCGTGGTGTGTGTTACGTTTGTGGATTCTTTTACGTGTTGTTGTGTATTTTCGCGGGTTTGTGTCTTTTTTCATATTTGGCGCTTTTCACCACCGTCTTTTCTTTTGCTCTTGTTTTCGCTCTCTCGTTTTCTTGCAGGCCTTCAAGGATGCCATCAAGCTCTGACATTTTGTTGGTGGGGTAGTTTTTCAGGTTTTTTATTTATTTATTTATTGTTTTTTTCTGTTGTTTTTCGGCCTGTCGTTTTTTTTTCTCGCAGGCGTGGAAGGATACCGACGAGCTGCTGTTCAAGGGAATGGCCAGGGTGCAGGTGTGTGCGGGTGTCGTGGGTCGTCTCGATCTCGGGCGAATGTCGACATACAAAATGTTTTAATGTGTTTTTGTGGTGTGTTTTATTTTCGCCTGTATCTTGGAACCGAGCGCGCGGTTCAGTCTGAAGGACGGATGTATTTATGCGGACAAATTCAGATGGTCGATCAAGGGCGATCCTAGTTTTTTCATGAATAGCGATTACCGTATACAACACAAGATAACGCACCCCCTGGACCGATTTTCAAAGCTCGAGTACGCCACGACGCAGAACATGCATGAACGAAGCGACACATTTTCGGGAAGCGCTCGACGAGACGGCTTCAACGCCGCCGTTTTTTTTGTTCTTCCGCTTATTTTTTCTTTTCGTTTTTAAAGATGAGCGACAGAGGCGACAACTGGAACGACCGATGGCAGGAAGCGCTGAGCCTGCCTAACAAGACCAAGATGGACATCAACTACAAGTGAGGGTCTACTGAACAGCAATCAATTGAGACAGCAGACATTTCAACCGACGGACACACCTTCATTCGACGGACAAACAAAACATTCACCCGACGAAACAGGCAGATGCCAGTGCAGCCGCCGGCAGCGATGTGACCCTATTTAGGGGCGCCCTCCAATGGTCCGAACAGGCTTAGTGTACAGCCCGTCGCTATGCATGTATGTGTGTGTTTCTTCACCCAGTCGCTGAGGTTGTGGGCAAGAAAAATCACAGATTAATCTCAACCTCTCGGGCGGCCGGCCGTGTCGCAGCAGTAGACAGCGAACGATGCATGCTGTATGTAGTGCCCGGAGGTAATTGCGTATCGTGATTGTTTTGCCATGCGGAGGGAGTGGTGTTCCCTAGGGTTAAGCAGCTGCAACGTGTGTGTAGGGGCATGCCCTCCCTTATGTCGCATACAGTACTATCTCGGCGGGCGCGCTTCACGAAAAATGTTTTTTTCTCAACCCTGATGGGACTTTGCCGTTTGCTGCTTGTGTCAGACGGAGGAGCCTGGACGCTGTGTACTCGGACTTCGTCCACACGGCCGTCACGTACGGGAGGACGATTATCTCCGAGTACTTCCTCCATGAGTACATGAAGAGCGTCAAGTGAGCAAGCAGACATGATTTCCCGCCGACCCTTGTTGTCGATTTCAAACCTGCAGTCATGGTCCTGGCTCTTCTCGTTTGCGATTTCTTGGCCTCCAAATTGTCGTGTATTTAGACATATTCCTGATTTCTTTGGTGTTTGCGAATTGCAGAGATGACGCTGACTCTTGTGGTTATTTTTTCGATTTAAAGGCATGATCCTCTGGCCCTCGTATCGTTTTCGGTTTACGGACATGATCTTGACGCTACCATGTTCGAGTTTACGCGCATGATCCTGACTCTTGTTGTTTTCGATTTCTTGACCTCCAGGTTGTCGTGTTGGTGAATTCTGACTCGGGCCGATGACCGTATTTCCGTGCCTCTTGAGTAGGTCTTTTGGGTTTGTGTTGGCTGGCACGGTATCTACATAAAAACGAGACCTCTACGCGTAACAATAGCTGCGCTGCGTGCCAGCCTGCTGCCACCGGGCGATTCGAGTGATACCTTCTTCTACAATAATCCCTCTAAACAATATGCTACTGCTGTACCTTCTTCTGCACTCTGGACGGAAAAATCTGCCGGTCCTTCTCTTGCCTTCTAATGCTGTGCCCTCTTGTACCCTCTGAACGAGGCTACTGTCCTTTGGTCTGCTTCTAAAACGGAAGCTACTGCTGTGCCTTCTTCTACGCTCTGAACGAGGCTACCACTGTATACTTTGTTCTGCTTCTAAAGGGAAGTTTCTGATTTACTTTTATCTTCTTCTGCCTTCTGAACGAAAAGCTACTCCTGCTGTGTGAACCTTAACCTTCGTCCGTCCTCGACCTCCCTTCCCTTCCCTTCCCTTCCCTCCTCTTGCATCAGGCCCAAGCGGCTCGGGGGGCTTGCCGGGGGCAAGAAGTACCTGTGGAGGGGCATTCTGTTCAAGCTGGCGGACGGCAGCCAGGGTCCCTACGGCGGCAGCGATGAGGCCGCCGCCAAGGCGGCCGGTCACGAGCTCCGAGGTGCGCGGGGCCTGCTTGTTCTCGTTGTAGGGTTAGCCTACCCGACCGTTGTTGGGCGGGTCCGGGTTCGTTGGTTCGAGTCCCTCGACAACCCAACGGCGTTTTTTCTTTGGTTGTACTTGTACTTGAAGAAGAAGACAAAAATGTGGTGGCACTTAGAGCATGTGGATGCGAGTCGATCGAGAGTCGAAAATGGCAAACGCAACACGGCGTTTCTCTTGGTAAAGTTGCGTGGTGCTTGTAGCGTGTCGAGGCGAGTCGAGGCGAAAATGACGACGTGTGTATGTCTCGGGTACTGCAAATAGCGGTACGGCTTCGCACGTTTTATTGCCCAACACCAGCGCCACACCGCAGTGGGGGGTAGGGCAGGGCAGAGATACCTCGGCTGCGTGTTGTGTATGGGAAACGGCCCCATCACCTTTGGAAACGACAGGCCCGGGGTAATTCCCAAGCAAGCGCGTACCTTCCCGGCTACTGTTTTTTTTATATTTGAAGATCTACATACGTGTGTTTTTTTAATAAATATTTTTTATTTTTTATTTCTGGGTTTTTTGGAGGACACGTAAAAAAATAACGCTTGGTTCCAAAATATTACCTCAGCAGTTTTTTGTTGTTGTTGCGGTTCTCTCCCTTCGCCCGTTCTTGTTCATCCGCCGAATGCACTTTTTCTCTGTCACGCGGCCCCGCCGATCCTACCCCCTCCCCCCACCCCCCCCACCCCCTCCTCGATGATAGTTCCAGCGGCGTGTGCGTAAGGTTGACTCATGTAGAATAACCGCTGCAGGACCCTGGGTTTCTTGAGCCCCGCCCATGACGGACCCAGAGAGCGAAATAAGAGTGCGGAAGGGTTTGTCGATCCATACAGCAGTGCCATGGCACTGTAGCATGCAACGCAGCCAGCAGTGCATGTGGTGGCCTGTTTTACTCGGAAATAGCGCGCGAAGAGCGCTCTCGAACGGTGTGCTATTTTCCCCCAGAAAGCAGGAAGAATTTCGCTGCTCCCTGTGCGGTTAGTCTGACTCGCGACTGGCATGCGAACCATCACCTGACCACTCATATTTTCGATATGCACGAGACTAATTTTAATTTTTCAACAATAACTTAGCGCCCTCAACCCCCTCATCCCCCCCCCTTACCGCCGTCGCCTCTGCGGGCGGGGCGCCCGCTTGTGATATTCCTCTTGGCCACCAGGGGCGTCGGAGTACCTCCACACCGGGGTAGGGCTGTGCATCCCGCCCATGTGCCTCTTGGACTACAAGGGGTTCCGGATGCTTGCGCAGGTGTATTTTTGTACTTTTGCTCTAGCGTTATTGTTGCTGCTGCTGCTGCTGCTGCTGCTGCTGCTGCTGCTGCTGCTGCCGCTGCTGCTGCCTGTTGTTGTGTCTCCCCAGGGCAGGCATCGTCGCAGTAGCTGCAGCAGCCCCCTCATAACCCTAGCCCCCTTGGGCAAGAGCCGCACCCCTTTTGATAGGTAGAACTGTTTTTTAAGTATGGTTTTCTCGTGCTACCCCCCTCCCCCTCGACCGCAGCGATCCCTTGACGACCCCCGCCCCCCCTGAGATGAAACCATTTTAGCGCTCTGGTCCTTGACTACCTACGACCAATATCCGCCCCCGTGACCCCCCCCCCCTCGTGTGCGTGTTCCCGAGCGGTCTAACTCTTCCGAGTGCCGTTGTTTCGAATGTGGTTCTGGGGGCCCGACAAACCGGCGCGCTGATCCCCCTCCCCCCCCACCCCCTCCCGACAACGTCTGCGTTGTTTTCAGGCACACCTCCCCCTGGGCGAGACGAGCCTGAAGATGGGCACTAACGACGGGGGCCGGACGGTCCTGAACGATTGCCCTATCCTCGACAAGCGCACCGCGATGGCGGCCAAGGCGCTCGGGCTGAGGGCCCACATCGTGGGCGGGAGGCAGGCGTTGGTGGCCTACAGGCAAGCCAGGCCCTTTTTTTTTTTTGGAGTACAGTATACACAGCATTTTCATTCGCTGATGTCGTCGCATGTGCTGTGTCTTTCGACTCAGCGCTTGAGCAGCGTACGTACGCATCATGTGTGCTTCCCGAAAAGAAAAAATATATGTATATATATGTTTTGTTTCACCCACTGCTCACTTTGAAGGTCACACTGACGCCATGTACGCCTCTGAAACACTTGGCAACACATCACGTTTTTGTGCTGGCCGAACGCAGAACAAAGCATATGTATATACATGTTTGTTTCACCCACTGCTCACTTTGAGGGTCACACTGACGCCATGTACGCCTCTAGAACACTTGGCAGCACATCACGTTTTTGTGCTGGCCGAACGCAGAACAAATCGCTCCCCCCACTGCTCTCTCACTTTGACATTCTCTTCTTGAAGTATGCCGTGGTTTTGTATGGTTGCAATTGATCCGTACCGGTGCCGCCGCCTCCACATGTGCTACCGCCGCTGCTACCTCCGCCGAGCATCTAGACTTCAAATAGCTGTTCCCTATGCATATGCAACGTGTGACCTTGTGCTGTACCGTGAACTCGATCCGCGCAGGGACCCAGAGACTGGGTCGGTGTACAGGAAGAAGAGAAACGTGGGGGGCCAGATACTCCACGCGGCGGCGGACGTGGAAGGGCACGAGGGCATCGATTCCAGGTATGTAGCAATTGTTTTCTACCTCGTGCATTATGGTATGGTACAGGCTGGTGGCTAGTTTGTTCTGTGGTGTCTCCGTGTGGGACAGTTTTCTGTTCCGATTTTTTTTTGTTCCTCACGGTGGCTCTCTGGCCGACTGGCTGGCTGGCTGGCTATTTCCCAAAAAATCGTGTCTCTGCTTAGGACGATTTCATCCGTGTTTGACGGTTTCCGGTTTGGTTTGCCTGGGCTTCCCTCTCTCCCAGAGTGAGCTCTATCTACGATTTTGTTCTGGTCACCAGGAACGAGACACAAGTCCTTGATGCTGAATGGAAGAGACACATGGAGCAACACCGACAACGGCATTGCGGAGGAAGGAACAAGCTTTCTCTCTCCCCCCCCCCTATCACTTAGTGCTGACACGCCTGGTTTGTTCTACCGCTCCTCGGAGTACCCCCCCCCCCCCCCCCCAGCCAAAAAAGGTTGAAGCGGGGGGCAGAT